TGGACATGAAACCATAGTTCATGCACATAGCAGAGCTGTGGAAAACAAAGCAGAGCATGTGGAAAACAAAATGTCTATCTTAAACTGCTTTGGAGACACAGAGAGAAGCTGAGATTGCATTTTGGGGTGAAGGAGCAGGAGTACAAAAACACAGAACTACACTAGAAGCGTTAGGAGTTTTCCGAGGTAAAATCCCAGCCAAGGGGAAAAGACCCCTGGCAGCATCGCAGGAATCAGCAGCTCTCCCACATGTCTATTGCTCATTATTGCATTTACTCAGAAGTCTTAATCAAGCAGGTCTGTGACAGGGATGTTGGTGACATGCCCAGACACAAGAATGCAAGAAGTGGAAGCGTGTTTAGGAGTCATGGGCATAATGCAAATGTTACAGTGACTTTTTAAAACTGGTTTTCAAAATTGTCTCACAGAGTCACAATGCAAAGGTACCACCTGGAACAGGAGGAACATGTTCAATGGTGCAGAGAGTATCATGTTTATTTTATATAATTTCCATGTTGCAGGAGTCTGCTTCAGTTAATGACTCTGCTCTGAGGATCCACACTTGTGACCTGAAAGCAGGACTCAAAAACGATGAGAGAGGAAATGAAGGTTCCTCTGTTCCACCTGTGTGTCTCTCCCACAACCTGGGAACTGAGGAGACAAGCAATCTTCTCCTGAATATTTCTGTTGCAGAAAGCAACTCATGAGTCTTTGATTGAAAAATATTTGTCTGTGTTTTATTCTGCTTGTCCTCACATTTTTGAGGCTGTAGAACTCACTCAGGCTAAAGGTAAGATAGAATGTGGATTGCGTTTTTGAAATACAACCTACCTAAAAGAACAAACGAATGGTTTTCTTATTTCTTCTGAGAAACATTCAGAGATAGCTGCAAAGAAAGCAAAGCTGGAACAAGTTCCAGCATTTTCAATTCAGCATTTCATCCATTTTTTTAAACCAGGTGATACTGAGGAATATGAATATTTATGGGAGAGTGGGATCCAGCAGTGCAACACGATGCTGAGAGCAGATATTGGAGAATATGATAATCATGCAATTGAAGGATTACAGAAGGGCAGGTTAGTTTATCGATTTTTAGGTTTATTTTTTATTCTTCATATACAATTTCTTGAATTTTTGTCTGTTACCTCTTTTGTGAAAGTTGAAAAAGCTGTTAGGTTAGCTGATGAGTAGTAGTGCACCATCAATCTGCTCTGTAAGCTCTCAAAACTCATGGATCAATGTGATGTGGCCATGGGATCAAAGGCAGGGTTTCTGAACTCATCTGCAGGAACATGAGCTGTAATGCACAAGGGACATTCTGCTAACCTGATGACTCGTAAGAGAGATCTCATGAGTCAGTAAAAGTTTCCCTTTCTGATAGAATATGAAAGTCCTAAAACAAGTATTTTATTTTTTTATCCTTTTTTTTTTTTTNTTTTTTTTTTTTTCCAAACAAAACGTTACTTCTATTTCTGATGTAATTCTCTTTTTAAAATAAAATTACATGATAAATTTGGTTAATGCTAAGGAAGTTCTTCATGGCACTAAGCAGACTTCTCTCATCTAAGGCTTTAGCTTTAAGAGATTTTTAGCATGTAAATTTCAGAACAGTTTTACATGCTAAAAATAGTAATCAAATCTAACTAACAAACCTACGAACTTCCAAATTTCTTACCCCAGATGATTTAGCTATTTTAGGTAATACTTGATTTATATAGATTTATATATACATCACACAAATTTGTATAAAAATGGTAAGATAAACTTTCAGACAACGTCTGCTCTTTGCTTCATCTTATTTAATTGGTTTTCCATCATTCCTAAATATAACAATTTTAGAACTGTAACTTTCTTTGATTGCCCGCTTTATAAAGTGGAACATTAGAGAAGAAATTGAAGCAAAAATGGAGAGTAACCAAAAGACATTTGATAACACATGGAATAAGCATAAAATGTTCAGTAATGTGAAGGTTCTACATAAAAACCACTGAAAAATTGACTTCCCAGGAAGTGGGAAGTCTTGCCTGTGTTTAGTTATTATCCTGGAGCAGCCCCCATCCACTATTTTCTCCCAAGTGACAGTTTCCTGAGAGGGCAGAGTTTTTGCCAGTAGAAAACAGTGGGAGCATTCATCTGAAAATGGTTCATCTGCCYAGAACTTAGAGGACTTAGCATGTCAATGGAAAAGGGTCTTCTTTTCTCCATCTGTCTGTTTATAAATAATTTATTTTTTTTCTACTTACACTTATCAAAACTTATTCCAATGCAGAAATAGYAGTGTATTTMAGCTTCTGGGGAAAAAAAATGGRAAAAAAAGGAATTTGGATTGCCATCCCAAACCCCTGTCAGTCATCCCAAACCAACCTCTTTCATCGAAAATCCTCTCAAGAAATGTGAGGAAGGACTAAGGAGAAAGGGGGAGGTGACATCTCTTCTTCAGTATATCTTCAAGAGAGGGAGACAGTGGGTTGCAACAGGGTGCTGAACGGAAATCCAGATAATTGTTAGCACAGCCGAGGAGTGCCTAAGACATTTGGGGTCAATTCAAAGCTCCACTGGAGATTTCCTGCGTAAACAGGAGCAACCATTTGATCTCCCYATGACTCAGTTTCTTGTCCATAGAATAGAGAAAATGAATGGTATTGTAGGACTAGATGCACTACAGATTTCTCAGACCTTTAAGGGGGCTCTARGGAGGTTTCTTTATCAACACTGTCACCCCTATAGAGAGGTTCTGAGGCCATTCTAGCCAGTCCGACAGCATGTTCTCCAACCGAGTGCACTACCTGCAAAGGGGAACAAAGTTACAGCAAACCATTTCCCAGGCGTGATAGGTACGGGTGGGTGAGTGCGGTACGGTACATCGCAGCACCGTGTGGTACAGTACGGTAAGAACGCACTGATTTGTCAATTCTTCCCCTATTTTTAAGCAGTGAAGTTTATATACATCTGCTCAGAGCATGCAGCCACCCATACTGCACACACATAGCAACTGGCAGCAGACTTGTTTTTCCCATATCKCTTAGGCTGAATCGGCTGTTCCCCTCCTCCCTCCCAGGGACCGCAGTCCGCAGGACTCCTGCGAGWCCCCTTCCACACGCTGCTGTGCTAACCGGCGCGCTAGCGCTAGAAGGAAACTTCTTTCTTCTCCGCTTTCCTCTGCCAGCAGCGTTTGGCTTTTCCCGCAGCGGCGCCCTCGGCGGGAGCGGGTCTGAGGAGGAGGAGGAGGAGGAGCGGGGCTGGGGAGCGGGGCTGGGGAGCGGGGCCGAGGAGCAGGGGCAGCCGCGGCCCCTCGAACACTCCCTGGCCGCGGGGTCCCGAGAGCTGCCTCCCCTCGCCCCTCGCTGCTCCGGGCCAGGACACTGGGCAACCGCAGTGCCCCAGCCGCGGGTCCCTACGGCACCCAGGAGATGGGTTTCTCCTTCCTCTCTCCTCTTTCAWGTAGTTGTGTGGAGTCCACTGCACTTCCCCAGGTCGTGAATACGGCCCTAGCTGGGATATTTCTGAGATACGGTGCCATTGATGCTCATCCCGCCATTCCAGAGCAGAGTAGCTTCTTCGACCCCTAGTTATGCATTAACAAGGGGAAAATTTCCTGAAATTAGACTACTGCAGGAACTCTGGTTTTAGTCACAGCTGTCATCTGAGAAACAAATTTCCAGGCATTTTTTAATCTAATTCACTTATTCTTTATGTAACTGAATTAGAAAATGTGATTAAGCATCACAGAATCTTCGGCATYGAGCCTGCCTAACCTTTAGTGAAACATGAAACAGAAAAACTTATTAGAAGTAAGAAGAAATGGTAAAATCGTCTGTATGGATTTGGTACAATCATTACTGACCGAGTAGGAGGATTAGAGGCACAAAAGCTCAAAAAAAAAAAAAAAAAAAAAAAAAAAAAA